ACAGTGTGGACCTTTTCTTTTGAACGATGTGAGCTTAAAGTGAAAACAGTCTCTCACAAGCTGAATTACCGAATCAGCATATGAATTTCGGTGCTACTGGTGTAGCGACGAGGACGTAAGAAGCATCAAGCGGTTCAACAAAGGCACGCACCAAAGACTGCAGACTTCCTACAGGGACTTTGGTCACACCATCTCCAAACATTTAATTCTGAACAACTTTGAGGGATACAGACACTGTCGGCGATGTTAGGCGTTTGCTCTTGTTGCTAGGAAACACACTCAAAACGCGCGCAGTACAGCGCACCCGGTGAGCGACTCACTTCAGAATCATCGCGCTCATCAAATTTGCTGAAACTAAGCGTTCTAAAGTATGGCTGTATTTCACAAAGATTCTGACACAGCAGCGTGAAGCAGACGCTTTACAAAAGATGCGTGTAAAAGTTTCCAACTGACACATTTGAGGGCTCATGATCAACTTTAATGCAGAGGAATGGGCTGTCTCTGACATCATCTGCACTTTCACCGAGTATATTTACATAGACACCAATACTCCGTGTTTAATATGATTAAGATAATGCTCTGATTAAGAGTCCACCATGTAAACTGCTATTTTATTTATTTATTTTTTATTTTTTGATTATCTTGAAGGATCACTCAGTCAGGAAATGCAGAGGTTTTTTCTTTCCATTTGGGATGCGGTATCAAACTCCAACAAAACAACAGCCTGGTGATGCCACAGTAATTGTTTTATATTGAAACTTTTAGACTAAAAAAAGCTTCCTTGGTCTTATTCATATTTCTTTGCAAGTTAAACACGTCTTCCACAACAGGAAATTAACAAACTGCAACTGCATTAATTGCATTTATTTTTTTTACCTGTTAAATATTTAAATTAATCGCATACGTTAACGCACTAATTTTGACAGTTCTAATATATATATATATATATTAATGTGTATCTGTGTATTAATATGTGTGTATACAGTATTTATATGCAAGACACAGATATATGTATATATGTATGTGTGTCTGTTTGTGTCTGTGTTTGTGTGTGTGTGTGTGTGAGAGAGAGACTCTGATTTGTGTGAAATACTGATAAATATGTGTAAATAAGAGAAACACTGATATATATATATATATGTATGTGTGTGTGTGTGTGTGTGTGTGTGCAGGTGTGTGGCGGCGAGCGTCCCTACATGTCTCCGTCTGCTCTGGATCTCCGCCATGGTGAGCTGAAGCAGGTGTGTGTGTGTCAGTTCCGCTCCGTCAAGAAGATGGGTGGAGAAGAGTTCAGCCGACGCTACCAGGAGCAGCTGGAGCAGGAGCTGGAGGAGTGCTACGCTAGCTTTAGCAAACACAACCAGGGCAAGAACATCTTTCTAGCGGCGCGTACGCCGGCGGCGCTGCTCGCCCTGATGCTGCTGCTGTACGCGTCGGCGCTGATAGCGGGCTGTGTGGGCATCAGTACACTAGCGGTGCTCTGTGACCTGCTGCTAGCCGCCGCGCTGCTCTCGCTCTGCGTCTGGACCTACAGCAGATACTCCGGAGAGTTCCGCGAGATCGGCGCCGCCATCGACCGTCTGGCCGAGACACTCTGGGAGCAGGTACGCTCAGGACACTGCAACACACACACACTCCACCGCACAGGGTTAGCAACACACACACACACTCCAGATAGGGATGAGCAGGGTGGCAGTGGCCCCTTTCCACAAGGCAGAAGTGCTCATAGTGTGTAAACTCAGAGTTCAGTAGAGGGAGAGAACAACACATCACCATCCTACAGTCCTGTTAGCTGAAATAATGACAGAGAAACTCCGAGATGATGTTATCAAGACCTCCAGAAGAGGAAAACAATAGTGGGAGACTGATAACAGCAGCCAGAGGAGAGAAACATGTCAGATTTACTGTCCTGAATGCCCCATACACACTGCATTACACACACACACACCTCACACTCACGCAGGAACCAGCTTACTGTAACTTGCTGTAAAGATAATATAATACACGCATACACAGATACATGTTCATGCGCTTTATAAACATTTCATATTAAAAACACTTTAAAATATATTTAAATATAAAAACGTGGATGCTGATGAGCATTAAACACCTCACAACACTCTTGTGGAAAGCGTCTGTATAAGTCAGAGGGTGTGTATAAGTCAGAGGGTGTGTATACGTCAGAGGGTGTGTATACGTCAGAGGGTCTGTATAAGTCAGAGGGTCTGTATAAGTCAGAGGGTCTGTATACGTCAGAGGGTCTGTATACGTCAGAGGGTCTGTATAAGTCAGAGGGTCTGTATAAGTCAGAGGGTCTGTATAAGTCAGAGGGTCTGTATAAGTCAGAGGGTCTGTATAAGTCAGAGGGTCTGTATAAGTCAGAGGGTCTGTATACGTCAGAGGGTCTGTATAAGTCAGAGGGTCTGTATAAGTCAGAGGGTCTCTATAAGTCAGAGGGTCTGTATAAGTCAGAGGGTCTGTATAAGTCAGAGGGTCTGTATACGTCAGAGGGTCTGTATACGTCAGAGGGTCTCTATAAGTCAGAGGGTCTGTATAAGTCAGAGGGTCTGTATAAGTCAGAGGGTCTGTATACGTCAGAGGGTCTGTATAAGTCAGAGGGTCTCTATAAGTCAGAGGGTCTGTATACGTCAGAGGGTCTGTATAAGTCAGAGGGTCTGTATAAGTCAGAGGGTCTGTATAAGTCAGAGGGTCTGTATACGTCAGAGGGTCTGTATACGTCAGAGGGTCTGTATAAGTCAGAGGGTCTGTATAAGTCAGAGGGTCTGTATAAGTCAGAGGGTCTGTATACGTCAGAGGGTCTGTATACGTCAGAGGGTCTGTATACGTCAGAGGGTCTCTATAAGTCAGAGGGTCTGTATAAGTCAGAGGGTCTGTATACGTCAGAGGGTCTGTATACGTCAGAGGGTCTGTATACGTCAGAGGGTCTGTATACGTCAGAGGGTCTGTATAAGTCAGAGGGTCTGTATAAGTCAGAGGGTCTGTATACGTCAGAGGGTCTGTATAAGTCAGAGGGTCTGTATACGTCAGAGGGTCTCTATAAGTCAGAGGGTCTCTATAAGTCAGAGGGTCTGTATACGTCAGAGGGTCTGTATACGTCAGAGGGTCTGTATAAGTCAGAGGGTCTGTATAAGTCAGAGGGTCTGTATAAGTCAGAGGGTCTCTATAAGTCAGAGGGTCTGTATAAGTCAGAGGGTCTGTATAAGTCAGAGGGTCTGTATAAGTCAGAGGGTCTCTATAAGTCAGAGGGTCTGTATAAGTCAGAGGGTCTGTATAAGTCAGAGGGTGTGTATACGTCAGAGGGTCTGTATAAGTCAGAGGGTCTCTATAAGTCAGAAGGTGTGTATAAGTCAGAGGGTGTGTATACGTCTGTGTGTGGGAACAGGTGTGCTGCTCTACAACACACTCTGAGGCCGTGTCCATGTATTTTTATAAACAGGGTTTTTCCTGCTTTAATTTTTAAAATCACCATCAGCATAAGAACTGCAGAAGTGCTCTGTGATTCATGTTAGGAGCATCTGAACCAACAGAGGGCGATAATGACTCTTCTGGGTTCACACCAAACAGAGAATGAAGTATTTGCTGGAGTGAATTGCATATAAAGCAGTGCACAGCTGAGAACAGAGACCGATCACTGTCCTGCGGGTGAAAGGCGCAGAATATACTGTTAATGTGCAGAATATTGCCTTTATGGGTGACGCGGTGGGTAGCACAAACGCCTCACTGCAAGAAAGCCGCTGGTCGAGCCTTAGCTGGGTCGGTTTTTGTGTGGAGCTTGCTTGTTCTCCCTGCATAAGTTTCCTCCGGGTGCTCTGGTTTCCTTCACAAGTCTAAAGGCATGTGGTACAGGTGAATTTGTCTCTAGTTTTATGTGTCTGAATGAGTGTATGGGAGTTTCCCAGAGATGGGTTGCAGCTGGAAAGGCATCCACTACATAAAACCAATGCTGGATAAGTTGGCAGTTCATTCCACTGTGGTGACCCCGGAGTAATAAAGAGACTAAGCCAAAAAGAAAATGAATGAATGAATGAATGAATGTGTTTGGTGTGAACGCAGCTGTGTCGGCCAATTAGAAAGCAGAAAACAGCAACAGTGAATTACACAGGGGTTTCTGGGGGTTTGACCCCCCTAATTAACATTTGATCCACCTG